AATCTCATTGATCCCGTGTGTTTTGTTTTTGAAGTAGTTCGAACGAATCTCGAGAGCCCCTTATCTTGTTTTTGAAGTAACTTGAAAGAATCTCGGATATTTTTCTGTGTATTATTTTTGAAGTAATCTCGGGGATCCCGTTTGTTTTGTATTTGAAGTAGTTCGAACAAATCTCGGAGATCTCTGTCTTCTTCTTTCTGAAGTAATTTGAAAGAATGTCGGGGATCTTTCTGTATATTATTTTTGAAGTAGTTCGGAAGAATCTCGGGGATCCCTTGTCTTCTTTTTGAAGTAATTTGAAAGATTCTCAGGGATCCCTTGTGCTATGTTTTTGAAGTAGAGAATCATATATGAATGTGAGTAATTCACTGGAAGTTTTTACTCGAGTATTTGAGAATATGAAATGGGAGTTTCTTTTAATTAAGAACTGTGTGAAGTTACGACGTACTTTTCGGTCGAATTTGTTGTGTCAACAAATAACTAGATCACAAATCAAAAAAATCAAACGGTACAATTGACAAAAAGTAAAATTCATTTACAAACACAGTTATACATAGCAATTAAATTATTATTAGGAGGTCTATTCATACGTGAATCTGAATGTTGAAAGTCTAACTTTTCCACGGATTATTTTCCATAAAAAATAAGCTCTCTGAGTACTCTTCTACGACTCAAGTCATAATCTATACTACGAATAGGGTAGATTCTATCCCTCGTGAAAGATAAGTTTTTCTGAAATCGCAGAAGTATATATATTGACGATAACAGTTGAATCAGTAAAATCTTTTGGGGTCTGAAATATATAACCAAGCACTTTGGAAGCTGATAGACAAATCGTGCTGAAGCTTGGTAAACACAATCTAAACCCACATTCAAACATCCTATGGTAAATATTTGGAATTAATCGTTCATTTTACCTCAATGAATAAAACAAACTATATGGATAAACGTTGTTTACTAAGTTCTGGAAATTTTTTTCTTAATCCTGTGTTTAATAATTAATAAATATTTGCTTTCTTAGCATAATTATCTCCGCGTTTTTAAACTTCTTCCCTCAGTAGGATTACTTTATTGATTTGAGCTTTAAGTATCGCTTTGTCCTACAAAGGTATGCACTTTTACAATTTTAGAAAGTTCCTTTATCCTATTTCCATCCCACCGAAGCTGATGAGTACACTAAATGAAATGGAGGCATTGGGTGTCAAATAAAAATAATAATACTCGTAATCCCCACTTTCGATCGTGAAAAACAATTCTCGGATTCAAAAAATAATTCGTTTTTATTACTCAAACGTTGTCGGCCTAAAAATTGTCGTCTCGAGCGTGGAAACTGTCCAAAATCTCCGTATCGAAAATTTCGCCGCGTTCCCCATGGGAAAGTTAAAAACGGAAGGTGTTATTATCTCTGGCCGGAATAACCGGACCATTTTTTCCAGAGTCAACCGAGTCTATTTGTACGCGTCGAGAGCACGTGCTAATTAATGGATTCCGGTGAAATTGAGAAATGACCGCAGAATCTTTCGGATGCTGCAATATGGACCGCTTTTGTGGGGAAAATCTGTCAGTTTCAAGATGAAACGCCTCCGGGTCCGCGTCTCTTCGATTAAAACGAGGGTCTCTCTCCTTTGAAATCCTGAATTGCGAACAACCATTGTATCCTGCGGCCTAATGAATAACAATAACGAGTCGCGTGATCCGCTGAAGCTCAGCCGAAGAGAGATTCTAAATCGCAAAGACGCAGATTCGACAACGACAAACCAAAAATGGCGCGTCATCCTCTCATTTTGTTGTCGTCCTGTCAAATGCTGGCGATAAATTCGAAAAAGCTCGTTTTGACGGTCGGTGACTCGGCGCGCCCCCGCCCCCGCCGATTCACGGCAGAGACCCGAGGGAAAACGACAATGGCGCGAGTCTGGCTCTGCCCAACCGACAAAATATTTGGCAACTCTTATCAAAATGTCGTATATAATTACATTTTACCGTCACACTACAATTTATTTCGTCCTAACTTAAACGGACCGCTTTGTCTGCGTATAAATGATGACTGTTCGTATTAATGTTTCCACCCTCGTGGGCATCTGCGTGCCCTCTATTTCTCTCTAGACCGAAATAATTTTAGATTGTAAATTATAATAAACGGAAGCGCCCATTTTATCAAGTGGAATGTGAAAATTTGTAGCTCCGTCTTACCACAAACTTATTATTGTAAACTATAATTTACTTTGAGTGCACTAAAAATGTTTCGTGCTAGTGGGAAAGGGTGAAACGGTATATCATTTCGTGGAAATTTGCGAGAAATAAGATATCTAAAATAATTACATGCTTATGCTAAACCAGCCTTCATTTCAACCATTAATTAAAGCATTATTGCATTATTTTACACTTGAATAAATTTAACTTAACTTAAAAAAAAAATTTACTTACACGTGAACTGATAAACCTTAAATAATGTTTCTACACACCTTTTGATAAAAGGGGGCATTATAAAATTAGAATACAATACAGCTGAATTTTAATACAGCAGGTGTATAGTTCTGCAATATGAATACGCGTCAGACGCGACGATTGGACTTATTAGGATATATACAAGGAATTACTAGATAGATAAAGTAAGCAATGCTAGAAATATGGGGGAAATCTACAATATCGCTCTCTTAAAGGATAACTCCCAGCGCTTAAGATGATTGCAATAATATTTCAAACCTGAAAATCCTTCTCAGCTGTAGATATATCTAACTACTTTTACCTCAAGAGAAATGGTTAAGGTAAGTCTCGTAACAATTTGGCCGTTCTGTCTCTCAATTGGAAATGTATATTTGGGTTGTCCTGAACAGAAGTATATTGTACATGATATTACTAATTCATCCCGTCCAGCAAGCTGTTGACGTCATCCCACAATTATTAAAGAAATATTGATTGAAACATACACATTAAAGTGAAATACTAGTTGTACCTTTTAGAATTGTATGCATAGGAATTCCCACTCAGTGATCGATTTACCATACAGAATAGGTCAAAAATGACTCATCTGTCTTATGATGAATAATTTCTAAAATAAATTGAGGTTACGTCCAGGGTTGCATTGCTAATCAGCGTCGCTTTTTAATGCCACAAAAGTGAGAAACGTTCTAAATGACTTTACAGGTTTTTTGTTTCGTGGTTTGCGTCTGCCACCGTAAAAATTACATTCCGACTGAAATATTCCGTTGCTTCCTATGTGAATATAAGCGACATTTTTGACGGTTTGCTTTATAAATTATTCACAAATGCACGACTGCTGCTGTCTACATTCCAAAAACGTCTCCTTTTGATTTCGTTTATATTATTAACAAGAACCGGACGTTTTCCATTTGCCAAATCTGCTCGAAAAACAGTAAAGACAATATTTGTCGATAAACCCAGGTCACGCGAACAAGAACATTCGAAAAATTATTTATACCGCGAGCCGTAAATACGAGGGGGTTCGGGAACAATTTCCAATGGTTACAAAAACGTAAAATGGAGTTCAATTTAAACTTAGAACAATAATAATTAATAGTGTTCGAATTTTGGAAATTTTTAACAGAAGATCCACATTTTTCGTCTGTACCGGAAAACAGTGGTTATGATAATTCTACTATATAACAACAATACTATATTTTCCTACTTATAAATCAAAATATTAATCAACATCGTTAAGCACGCACACAGTTTGTACAAAATCCATAACAAACTGACCTAGGCACAATGTATCAAAGAGAGCGAAAATATACATATAAAATTCGTTCAAAGAAACACTACTTGCTAATTTGAGGACGTTTTTCTTAATGGCACTAAATTTGTTGTATAGCAACACATGATATGGAGCATTTAGGCAACCAGTTATACAGATACGTGTGCTATTTGTCGCGCGTCCTTGGGCATTTAGTAAGATCCAAAACTGAGAGGCGACACGTTTGCATGACCTACTTCGAGCCTACAATCATTTATAGTTATTTATTAAGTTAAATTTGAATATATTCGAGGGACGTCTGTTTACAACAGAATTCACGAAATATGACTCATTAGCAACTTTTTTTAAGCACATGATACGTGCAGTCACTTCAAAAATGTGCACTATGTAATACGTATTGTTTTTTTTTTATTTCATGCAATGGTGTAATATAGGTTTTATGATAACATCGTTCACTGCAGGCTTTTACCGGAAATATTCCACGCATACACAGCTGCAAGCTTTATTTGCTTCGATTGAATAGGTGATCAGACTATATTTTTGGTAGCGACATTTTTATCTTCTATCAAACATAATGGTCCAATTCTGTATATGTAAAGTACATTATTGATTAAAATGTAAAAAATTTAATCTGTTGTTAATATCACACGTAGACATAAATTCCTATGAACTGAAATAGCAGTTACGGTTAAGTTATGACCTGAATTTAGTACAGAGACACGGTTTCCGGTTCATTCATTAGTCATTACTCAATTAGGAATTAGGCGAGGATGAAAATTCGCTTTGTCTAGACTATCTAATAAAAAAAGCTGTTAAAACATGCACAGAACACAGTTCTTCGATTAACGTTTTTGGGGACTGGAAATGATACAGGCACAACAAACATCCACATCGAACCTTACTCTTCCGCAACTTTTCGTTTCTTTCCAAAATAGTCTCAAACCAAATTCCGCCCTACTCCACCACCAAACAAAGTGCTACTATCCTCTATTAGCATTCGTCTGCCAAATCCTCGTAGTTCCACGTGGAGAACCGCGGATCACTGACCTACACCAAATGCGTACAATCGCCAGCAAAGCTCAATTTCAGCAAACCGCACTCTCCCTTTCACTTGTTCAAACTTTGCTTAGCGAAAAATGACCATGAAGGATGAAGTTTGCAGGAGAGGGACGTCGGTGTCGTCGCAAAGCAAGGTCGCATTCTCGCAGGAATGAGATGATGGTATGGTGGTGTCCCAGCGCAAAGCGTGATCCTCTCCGCGTGAGCTCGGCCGTCCAGCTGGTCTTACCTGTTGGTCCGTCGGTGGGCCGTGCGTCGGCCTGTAAGCCCTCGGGCTTGCGGCCAAACTAGTGACTCGCTTCCTGCTCCAGCCGACTCAGACAGCATCGATCGAGCCTACCAGCCGTCCTGGTTGACTTGCGACACATGGATCTGCACCATCAGGTGGTCATCAGGTTGCGTCCGGAGCACGTGTCCACAGTCCGGTTGGGTCCTAGAGGCACTGGTAGTCGGCGTGCGCGCGTGCGGTTCGCGGGTCAGTTGGGGCACTCTTCACCGCTTCATGCCAACACACCGAACTGAACGTAGCTGACGTCAGACGTGAGCGGCGTCTACTATCGAGCACGGGCGGCGATCTTCGGCCACGAGGGTGCTCACCACCGGGACGCAAGCGCTGGACGGGGCGCAAGCGCCTACACGGGGATGCACACACGTACACCTGGATGAGGAGACTCCGTCAAACGCGGACGGGGGAATTGGACGTCGGCGGCGGCGGAGACGGCTCGGGCTTAGGAGTGGGTAAGGGATGGAGGTCGAAGTAGCCCGTGGTAGGTCAGGGGAGAAACGCTACCCGGGAGAAGATTGCACAAACCAGTTGATTTGGGGGTGATAACGACACGGTTTATACAAAACCGATGACAAAAGTGTATTCTAGAACGCATTTGCGGGCGGAAAGTGGGTCTCTATCGCCCTGGATAGAATTAGCTATTTACGTTACTTGTCCGGAAAAGCTCACTCTGTATTAATTATGCACATTTCTTGCCTAGGCAAGTTCCAGAAGGAACAATATAGGAGTCGTGGAACCCTGGAAGTCCAACAAAAAACTTTTCGTACGTGTGAAACCTTTTTCCTCAACCATCTATTTTACATTTATGGTCACCCACGAACAAAATTTGGAAACGATTCGAACAGAAAGCGCCATGTTATAATCTGTCCATTAGTCTATTAGTATCTTCTTTTTAGCATTTGGTTGAAGTTTTTCATCTTTAAAAATCAATATCTCAATTATTTACGGAAATTTCAGAACGCGGTTTTCACCACTGTTTTCTGTTTACAAAACGCTAAAGGGACATGAGAAACATTGTCGACTTTTTGTCAGAAATGAAATAGAGTAAAATGAAACTTGTGTCGAAGAAGCTAATTTTTCATTTCCGACAAAAAAATATTGTACTTTTCTAAGAAGGTCTTTGCGACCCTTCTAGGATCTAGAAGATTTCCATCCTCTACGTCTGGTGAAATTAATGGTGTCGACACTAGAATCATCTAAATAAAGTCGCTGAACTCCTTCGGAATATAATGCCAGTATAAGGGTTGAGGGTGTAGACACCCACTGATTCTTAGCATCTTCGTTGATAATTTATGGCAAATTTTTCAAATAATAGTACACATACAAAACGCTAAACAAAATTTGGCTAATTATCCCAAACGCCACATAAATTTTATAAAATAACATATTCCTATACTAGTGGTCTATGAATCCGCCTTCATTTTTTACCCTAGGTATCCAAATTTTCACAAAAAAAATCCAAGTTGCATCATCACATTTTATGCCAGTTTCAGAGCACTAACGTATGGTGAACTGCGTAGCCGATCTATTAAAAATATTAAATTAACTGTTTGTATTGACTCATGGGTCAGTTTTTATATTGATCAAATCAACAAATACTAGACTCGTCCACCCGCCCCCTATTTTCCCAGAGGATATGTCATTTGTGGAAATAAGTCTTATCCGAGCAAGTGCTAGTCCCGCCCACCCGCCCATATTTTCTCACAGGATAACCCTCTAGGATAGTTTTAGCAAGTACTACCCTCTGAGAAAATAAAGGGCGTGTGGGCGGGGCTAGTAATTGCTAACATAAGTCTTATTTTTGCAAATGACATCCTCTGAGAAAATAGGGGGCGGGTGGGCGGGGAGAGTACTTGGTAAGGTAAGACTGATTTTGGCAAATGACATACCCCCTAAGAAAGGAAAGGGTGGGTGGGCGGGGTTAGTACTTGCTAAGATAAGACTTATTTTGGCAAATGACATATCCTCTGGGAAAATAGGGGGCGGGTGGGCGGGCCTAGTATTTATTAAGATAAAACTGATTTTTACCCTATTAATCTTGTAAAAACTTGTGAAATTTAAAGGTGTTGTCTGTGTTGATTTTTATTACACAGATAATCTCTAAACTACCAGACCGATTGTTGTCAAATTTTGTATATATGTTACAGCTAATATCCGAAATCCGTTATTATGCATAATAACTAGACATTTTAGGAATTATGCGTAATAACTAAACTTATCAGTTATTATGCATAATAACCGGAAACTTTAGGAATTATGCGTAATAACTGAAATTTTCAATTATTATGCATAATAACGGAAACGTTTAGGTAATATTGATAATAACTAACAGAGGAACAGGAATTATGCATAATATTTTCCAAAAAGCTACCCACCCTGCCTCGCTTTCCCCTACATATCACATGTACAGTTGATTTAAAAAAAAGGGACAAATGACAGTTATATAAACGTCATATTCCCATTGCTTTTCATTGATCAATAAGAACCTAAATTGCTCATCTTGTCCCGTTTTTTTGAAATCAGCTGGACATGTTATATGCCAGTGCCGAAGCCTTTGAAAATGGTAAAAAGTGAAAAAAAAATTAGAACAAGATGATACCCATTGGAAAAGGAAGAAAATATAACAAAAATAAAGGGAAAAATAATTTACGGGCGATCTGAGGTCCGGAAGGCGCAGAGGGTAGAAAACGGTTTATCGCGATTTCCGGCAAAACTACAAGTCCTATCGCAAAAAGTTAAATGGCAAAGTTGTAGGTAATAAAAAGATCTACAACTTTTGTATTTACATTTTCTTTATATAACCTCAAAATTTATGTTAAAATGCAAATAACCGACTTTTTGGTTTTTTATTTTTATCTGCCACAAAAAAATTTTTTTTAACGAAATTTGGTGAAAACTTACCACCTATTTATGTCCCAAATTCACTGTAATTTTTTTTTATTCAAAATATTTATTTTTCCCTTATTTTGATTTAATATCGAAAAACCACCCTAATTTTGAATCGAAAATTCTCACGTCAAAATATTTGCTTTTTTAAAAAATCGGTGTGCTTTTTGTTCGCTGAAATCTACTTTCTGAAGGTGTAAAAAAAATTATACATTACTATGGCAAATTTTCACAGCAAATGCAAAAAAACGAAAAAACTCGAATTCAAAAATTTGTTTTTTAATTATTATGTAAAATTTGGAGCTATTTATTAAAATGTACACGTTAATTACTCGAAAAACGTAATATTCCATGTTACATTTATAAATTAAAAAATTTCAAATCGAAATATACTACTATAGTTAACAACCAAATAAGTTAATACACTTAATACTCACTTTATAAGACATCTACAATATTTTGTTAAAGTTGTAGGATAATTTTTAAATTATATGCATAGGTGCCTATTTATTGCTATTTTAAGATAACTTACATACCTGAATGGCCTATGGAAAATTTTAGCCCATCAGAAGAATGAACAACATCGTCTATATAAATTAATACACGTGCAGGCTGAGTTACTTGAAGAGAATCGTGACGAATTGACTTATTTAAAAGAAACTTTTGGAATCTACAGTCACAAGGATTTTCCTGTAAACAAGCAGAAGAATGCTGACATAATTAAGATCTCGATAGAAACTGCCAGAGATACTAATAAAACTGTCATAGTTGTAGGTCAAGATATTTTGGTCCTTTTGATTGAATTCAAATAATTATGACATTTATTTTCTCAAACCAGGTTCTGGAAATGTAAAAGATCTATTTTTCACGTCCAATAGTTTCAAATATGAATCTTTCAAAAATATTGTTGCATTTCTGTATTGTTTTTCTGGTTGCGATACATCTGGGTTTGCCGGAAAAGGAAAGAAAAACATCGTAAATTCATTGTTTTCTAATATATAAAATTCTCGTCTCACAGTGTGTGTAACCAAACTCTTCCGAAACGGTTTGACTGATTTTTATGAAATGTTCTGTCTATATTCGGTAGGTCTGAGAATAAGTCGTAAACTATTTTTTATACCCCTAGGTGATAAGGGTGGCCCACCCAAAAAATGTTTTTTTATTTTTCGGACAAAATTTGTTATTTTTATTTTTTTAAGATTTGGCTTCAAAAAATACATATAACCCTTAAATTTTCACCCTTCTACCACCAACCCCCATTATGTAGTAACGATATTAGTATCTTTACATTCATCCACAGATACGCAAGGCAGGGTTCAAGATGGCTGTTGAATATAATCATTGTCGTACGATAATTTTTTATGTATAATTTATAATTTAATTTAATTACAATTTATTTATTTATTTTGATTTAATTTTTTGTTTAACTACTAAAATATTCACTGGGTCTGCTAGTCAGACGATAAAAATTTGTCAAATTTGGCCAATATTTTTTATAAAAAACATGCAAACAAAGAAGATATCGCAAAAACATGGATTACAATTAATCAAATATATTTATAAATGTAAAAATGACAATCTAACACTGAATCAATTAAAATTTCGAAAATTAAATTGGCAAGAATTAAATCATCTTTCATATTGACAAATCTCCCACCAAGAGAAGGCGTTTGTTTCATGGATTTTAAATTTTTGAGTTTATCAGTGTAACATGGAATCTTACTTTTTTCGAGTAATTAAAGTGTAAATTTTAATAAACAACTCAAAATTTTACATGATAAAAAAAATTCGAATTCGAGTTTTTCGTTTTTTTGGATTTCCTGTGAAAATTTGCCAGAGTAATGTATATTTTTTTTACACCATCAGAAAGTAGAAATCTCAACGAACAAAAAGCACACAGATTTTTTTAAAAAAGCAAACATTTTGACGTGAGAATTTTCGATTGAAAATTAGGGTGGTTTTTCGATATTAAATCAAAATAAGGGAGAAAAATAAATATTTTGAATCAAAAAAATTACAGTGATTTTGGGACATAAATAGGTAAGTTTTCACCAAATTTCGTGAAAAAACTTTTTTGTGGGAGATAAAAATAAAAAACCAAAAACTCGGTTATTTGCATTTTTCACATAAATTTTGAGGTTATTTAAAAAAAGTACAAAAGTTGTAGATCCTTTTATTGCTTAACATTTAACTTTTTTCGATAGGACTTGTAGTTTTGCCGGAAATCGTGATAAAACGTTTTCTACCCTTAAAAGCTCACACTCTTCCACTTCCCAACCTCAGATCGCCCGTAAATTATTTTTCCTTTTATTTTTGTTATATTTTCTTCCTTTTCCAATGGGTATCATCCTGTTCTAAATTTTTTTGTTCTCAA